AGAAACTTGGATTGGTGAGGTATGGGGGCTGGTAAATAAGTGCTCTCCTCTTGCTGCAGCAAGCTAACAATTATGGGGTACAGTGTACATTCTGCAGTGCTCTGAGGCCACATTGCCACGGTGATGACTAATTTGAGAACACCCTTGTATTGACTTACCTTGTTTCGCTTTCCCTAGTCATCCACTGCTGTTTCCTGAGATCACTGTCCAAAAACAACTACCTAAAAAGTAAGCCCTTGTCTCAGGTTCAGTTTCCAAGGGGCAAGCCAGGCTAAGACACCATTAAACATAATTCATACAGGAAAGGCAGGATAAGTGCTCAATTCTTTAGTTACATTGAAAATATTCAGTCTTGCCTAGCTATGACTAATAATAAACTCCTGGGATTCTATGTAACCAGTGCATTTCAGTCAGTTGTAGTTCTTACTTTTTGATGTGCATACTGTCCCCTTTTCAGCCAGTGGGAGCCTTTTTATGCTGACCCCTTTGTACATTTGAACTGTTGAATTAGACTTTAGACTTTTAATACCGGATCCTCAATGTCTAGCCAAAGATGTACCAGGGTCATCACAGCCTGAAATCTGCCATTCCTCCAAAAAGCCTCATTCCTTTTCATAGAAAATGATGTATTAAAAGTACAATATGAGGCAATAAAATTGCTTATTACTATAAGATTTGCATTACCTCTAGGTCTTTTCAAGGGTCAGTGAAAGCAGATACTTCTTTTTGCAACAAATATACAAATTTTCTTATTGAGATATAAGAAATTGTTTTTGAAAAGAAAAAAATCATAAGCTCACACTACTTTGAATCCAATTTTAATATTACATGGATGAAAATCATTGTTCCTGATAACTCTAATATTTTTACCTATAACATACAGGAATAGCTTAAAAATGACGACAATAGCATCTGTAGTTCTTCTAGCAATAAGACTTTTGAATAAAGCTTAAGATTTTTTGTCGATCTATTTATCTTGAGAATATATTCTAGTGTGAATGAATACAACTTTCTTGTCATTTGTTTATTTGATGTGGTTATGCTGTCAACTTAACATATGATTGTACTGCTTCAGTGTATTTTCAAATTTTATGAATTGCATTTTTTGGATTTAAAATTATTTTGAGTATGCAATGCATATATATAACATGATTCTATAGACAAAGTTTATTCAGAGTAATCTAGCTAACATGTTCATTTCTTCTACCTGTTTTTTCCTGTTCCAAATATAGGCAAATATATATTCCTAGTTCACCTAGCTCACACACACAAAAAGCCTACTATACTTTTGGTACCATGTGAGTGCGTGCGTGTGTTTTAGAGCTAATATGTAACCTGGAGATCACTCCACATCATGTAAAGAGATGGCTCTGTTGTTTTGTTTTGTTTCTAGAGTTGCACAGTATGTTTTGTTATGTGGATCTGCCCTGATTTATTCCACCAGTTTCTGACTATGGTTACTTGGATTGTTCCCAGTCATTTGCTATTATAAATAGTACTGCAATGAATAACTTTGTACCTAAACCATCTCGTATTTTGGAATAGCTTGTCGAATTGGGATTTCTGTTTCAAAAGCAAATGCATGTATAATTTCGTGAGCAATTATCCAATTCCCATGCATAGGTTTTGCGTACTTTGCATTCTCAATGACACAATGCACCATCCCTGTTCCCCAAGGCCTCCCAACCAACAGGGTGGTCATTTGGACTTTTGCTAATCTGATTACTTGCCTTCTATCATTCTGCTCCATGGCATAGTAAGATGATTTCATTGACTTTTGGAAGAACTCTTTCAGGATAAACAATAGGTAATTGTGTTGAAGGTGGTAGGAAGAGAGTGGCAGCAGTATTTCTATTTCCATTCTCCTAATTATGGAAATGCCAAAGTCCACAGCATCACTATCCTAGTTAAGACCTTGGGTTTCCAGCCAAATATAGGAAGACATCTGTTATGGCTCATGTTTGGGTTACCTCCTCCACAAAGCCTCAAGCTTCTTCAAAGGTGGGTGATCTAGAGTGTGTGTTTGACTCATGGTGGGGTTAGGCCTGAGGGCACTAGAATTAAGGGCAACAAAGTGAACAATTCCTCATTAATTTGGCCTTTTTCTAAGTCCTATTTTCTTGTTGTTATTGTTCTGTTTCTTGATACTGCGTCTCACCATGTTGCCTACCTTGACGCCCAACTCCTTCCTGGGCACAAGCAATTCTCTTTCCTCAGCCTTGGGACCAGATGCGAGCCACCACACATTTCTAAGTCACAATTTTTATATGTAGCCCAAAAATCTAGTCCAATATTATGCATAATTAAGAATTTTTAAAATCAACCATAAATTAGGGAAGGTTTTGAAATCTGGAGTCTTAGAAGTTATTTGTATTAAGACAATAATAAATCCTTTGTTATCAACAAGGGTATATTGACACTTGTTTTGGGTGATGAGGAAGGCCAGGCATATCTGAAGAAAATAAGTAGCATTATGAAATAATCAAATTGACTGCTTTTCTTAGCAGTAAAGAGAAAAGAACAGATGGTAGCCTACTATTAGATTTGGAAAGTGTGTAGAGTAACGTTGTGGTCAAAAAAATCAGATTGGGTTTACACACTTGCCTGCTGTGGCCAATCGGCAATTTACACCAACAGGCTGTACGGAGAAATATTAACTCGTATTATTTGGTTAATGCGGTTGTTTCGAGGATTAAATGAGCTAAGGTGAAAAGCACTGGGGTCAATGATTTAGTCTGGAATCCTGGTTGGTGAGTGGGAGCTCCAAGAACAGGCATGACAATAAAGACAGGCGAGGGGCAGAGGAGTTATGGCTCATGTTTGGGTTACCTCCTCCACAAAGCCTCAAGCTTCTTCAAAGGTGGGTGATCTAGAGTGTGTGTTTGACTCCTGGTCGGGTTAGGCCTGAGGGCACTAGAATTAAGGGCAACAAAGTGAACAATTCCTCATTAATTTGGCCTTTTTCTAAGTCCTATTTTCTTGTTGTTATTGTTCTGTTTCTTGATACTGCGTCTCACCATGTTGCCTACCTTGACGCCCAACTCCTTCCTGGGCACAAGCAATTCTCTTTCCTCAGCCTTGGGACCAGATGCGAGCCACCACACATTTCTAAGTCACAATTTTTATATGTAGCCCAAAAATCTAGTCCAATATTATGCATAATTAAGAATTTTTAAAATCAACCATAAATTAGGGAAGGTTTTGAAATCTGGAGTCTTAGAAGTTATTTGTATTAAGACAATAATAAATCCTTTGTTATCAACAAGGGTATATTGACACTTGTTTTGGGTGATGAGGAAGGCCAGGCATATCTGAAGAAAATAAGTAGCATTATGAAATAATCAAATTGACTGCTTTTCTTAGCAGTAAAGAGAAAAGAACAGATGGTAGCCTACTATTAGATTTGGAAAGTGTGTAGAGTAACGTTGTGGTCAAAAAAATCAGATTGGGTTTACACACTTGCCTGCTGTGGCCAATCGGCAATTTACACCAACAGGCTGTACGGAGAAATATTAACTCGTATTATTTGGTTAATGCGGTTGTTTCGAGGATTAAATGAGCTAAGGTGAAAAGCACTGGGGTCAATGATTTAGTCTGGAATCCTGGTTGGTGAGTGGGAGCTCCAAGAACAGGCATGACAATAAAGACAGGCGAGGGGCAGAGGCGGGTGAACAGGCCAAGATTCATCCTATCCTTTACTCTTGCGAAGGAGGCACGACTGGTTCTGCCCCGACTACCCAGAAAGAGGAAACGGAGGCTCTGCTAGTCGAGGTCGGTGATTCGAACGAAGCGAGGGCATCCCCAGAAAAGTGCCCTTTTCCGCCGGCCGGGCTGAGGACACGAGGACTCAGCCCACCGCCGACCTGGCGTTCACCGTCCACAGCGCAAGCCGCCCGCAGCCGGAGCAGCAGCCGCTTTCACGCCAGGTCACTGCCACAGGCGGGGACAGCGACGAGGGACTTCCGGGCAGCCGGTTCTCGACAGGACGCCATTCTTGCCGGCAGACAACGACCTCGCCCACGAGTAAATACTGTATTACGCCCACTCTGCCCAACACCAATACTAATGAACCGCACATTAAAGGCTCAGCGGGTGCAACCCTCGCTCACAACCCAACTTTTCCACCGCCAAGCCTATCACGCCGGGAAGAGCCCCAGGTTTCACCCTGCCCCTCGCCTTCCGGAGTCCGCCCCCAAGGCTCCGCCCCTTCGGAAGTTCTCGGCTCCGCCGTAAAGATGGGAGCGTTCTTTGCCACTCAACCTACAGGCCGCCTCCTTCTTTACGGCAGGCCGCATTCCACGTCGCCAATATGGCGTCCCCCGCGTAGCCTATGGTGGTGGTTTCTGCTCCAGGTGGCAGCGGCAGTACTGAGCCGGGGCTACTGTGCATTCAGCCCGGGTTTCAAACAGCAGCAGTTAAAGTTCGTTTTGGGTTACGGTTCAGGAAGGCACCGTCCTTTGAGGGACAAGAACCGCCGCTTCCATTTAGTTCCTGCAAGTTCCTTCTTGGCCCCTGGTTTCTTTCCCGAGCCACCTCGGATAACCCAGGTCCCCGACACTCAAGCTCAGACTATGAGTCTTCAGCAGCCGCTGTTGCGCTTGTCCCGTTATCTCGGGGTCTTGGGTCCCCTACGTCGCCCGTGGTGGTTCCCATCCCTCAACACCATCTCTGCTCTGGGGTCCTGGCGTGGTCACTCCTCCAGGTCCCCGACCCACTGGAACCAAGTGCTGTCAGAGGCGGAGAAGATTGTGGGCTATCCCACATCCTTTATGAGCCTCCGCTGCCTGCTGAGCGACGAGCTCAGCAACATCGCTATGCAGGTGCGGAAGCTGGTGGGGACTCAGCACCCTCTACTTACCACTGCCAGGTGAGCGACACCCTCTCCCTCCGACTCAAGTCTTTTTCTGCCCAGCGAACCCACCCTGCCTCGCTCAGACTAGCTTCCTGCCAATCTTTTATCGCTTTCTACCGTCCTCTCCTCTAGACGTTGCTTTTCCGTCCACGTACTCTTCATGTACTTGCTCAGCCGAATGGATAAATGGTTTTCTTATGAGGAGCATTTGTGCGCTATTCGAGATTTTTGTTTCTTAACTGTTGAAAGTGGAGACGCTTCAATGATTTGTGGAGAAATGAAGCAAGGATGTAGGTATATTGAGTCACTATATAAATATGGCCTTTAAAAGTGAGATAGATTTTCGATTCCGTACTCTTTTAGAATCATATCCAGAAAGAGTAGAGAGGGAGAAACGACCTGACAGTTAACAGTTCTTGCCAACGAATGTTCAGACTTGAAGTAGGAATTTATCCAGGCAGTAGTCGTTATCTTCTTGAGACTTTTATCACTTATGCTGGACTCCTGCTGTGAAACGTGCCATTGAGGTTATAAACCCACTAAAAACAACAGCAAAACCACCTTTTGGATTTATAATCAAATTAAAATATACAGAAAAGTTGCAAGAATAAAAATAAAACGTACTCGTGTACCGTTTAATCAGATTCACACGCTATTCGTGTGGATGCGTGTGTGTGTGTGTGTGTGTGTGTGTGTGTGTATAATTTTTTTCTGGATCACTTGCAATTACTTGGTAATTGCATACTTCACAGTCCTTTACCCCGAATTCTTAAGTATTTCCTAAGCATAGGAATATTTTTACATAACTAGTACTGTTATCAACTTAGCTACTTTTAATATTGATTCAATACTTTTAATGTTCTTTTAACAATCTGTGCATGCAGTACAGAATCCAGATTAGGATCAGGTATTGCATTTTGTTGTTATCTCTAGACTCCTTCAATCAGGATATTTCTTGACTCTCCTTGGCCTTTAGTACTACAGCAGTTGTTCTCAATTTCGGCAGTTTTGCCCTCCAGGGGACATATGGCAATGTGTGGAGACATTTCTTGTTATCACAAGTGGGAATAAGTAGAGGGCTGGGATGCTGCCCTACAGTTCCCAGGACAGCCTCACAAGGACAACTTTCGTCTCAAAATGTCAGTAGTGTCAGTGTGGAGAAACACAGGACAGAAGCCATCTTTCTTTTTCTATTTTCTTTTTTCTATTCAACTTTTATGTATTTTTGTTCTTTTGAGACAGGGCCTCACTGTAGCCCAGGCTGGTCTCAAATTTGTGGTGATCCTACTGCCTCAGCCTCCTGAGGGCTGATATTACAGGTGTATACCACTATGCCTGGCTTAAATTTTTATTTTTATATAACTGTGTTCAAAGGCAGAAGAAAATAGTAACACGGAGATTCAACATAGTCACGATCCCGCAAATGGTAACATCTAAGTGAAAGTATAGTCTAATACCACAAGCAGGATATTGATACGTATCATTTTTATCACAACAAAGATTCCTCTTGTTGCCCTTTTTAACCACACTGTCCTTACCCACCCCATTTTTATGAAACACCTGTTATTTTCATACCATATGAGTTTCCAAATAGCAATAATAATTTTATTTAACATTGTTTCTAATTATCAGATATGTCACTTTATGATTGGGCTAAATTTGTCTTGTAGCTAGAATGCGCTCTAGAGATTCTAAGTGATAAATACACCCAGAACACACACTCCTGTGATATATGTATATATGTATTCATATAGATTTATTGTGATCATGGGAATTGAATAATTTTATTTAACATTGTTTCTAATTATCAGATATGTCACTTTATGATTGGGCTAAATTTGTCTTGTAGCTAGAATGCGCTCTAGAGATTCTAAGTGATAAATACACCCAGAACACACACTCCTGTGATATATGTATATATGTATTCATATAGATTTATTGTGATCATGGGAATTGAACCCAGGGCATTCTTCCTTTAAAAATTTATATATTCATTTATTATAGACAGAGTCTCACTAAATTGCACATGCTGGGGTTGAACTTCTGATCCTCTTGCCTCAGCCTCCCAAGTTTCTGGGATGACAGGTGAATACCACCAAGTCTGGCAATATGTGTATATTTTAAAGCATAGTATGAAACTAACGAGCCAACTATGCTACCTAATTTTAGCACTATAACTTTGCCTATCCTGTTGAAGTATTTTGTGTATTCTCTAGCCCAGTGATGGTGAACGTTTTAGAGCTTTCAATGATCCAAACAACTTGCTGTGGCATGCATGTCATAGGTTTGACACCACTGCAGCCCCTCTCCCTGACTTCTCTACACTGATTTTTCCTTTTTTCGTCATATAGGTGTTTCTTAAAATAAGAACATGTTTAATTTTGCTAATTTTTTCTTTGAAATGTACAAATATGGTGGTTTATTCCTTATGGTTTTCTATGACAAGTTTTATTTGTCATTGTTTCTGAGATTCATTCATGTGTGTATTACTATATTTCAGTAGTTATTCACAGCTATGTGGAATTCTATTGTGTGAATACGTTGCAGCATTTATATTGTTTGTATTTTTTGGTATTATTAAAATACTATGAATATATTCATATGTATCACTTGGTGTACAAATCTTGTTGGATATAATTGTTTTGTTTTTTTTTTAGACAGGGTCTCAATATGTAGTTCAGGTTGACCTTGATCTCATGGCAATACTCTTACCTCAGTTTCCCAGTGCAGGGATTACAGATGTGTCCATGACACCCAGTTAACTCTTTCTTTAGAAGATAATGCCAAATTGTTTTCCAAAGTGATTGTATCTATTTACACTCTGACAAGCATTGTCTGGGTTTAGGTTACTCTGTGTTTTGAAAACAGCAGAACCGTGAGCTTTCTTAAATTTCTTAAATTCTGTGTATGTGGTGGGAATGATAGTGTCAGTGATGAGTTTATAGCAGTCTAGCGCATTGTGAGTATTGTAATCCCTTTAATAGAACATTGATGTGAAATGGTTAGAGCTAAAGACCTTATTAATGTGTGGAGAATTGCAGTTAAATGTCTACCTATAGCCAGAGCATCAGGTGAAGGCTTGGAGAACATCCCTTCTGAGGCCAGATGAAATCTCATGAGACTAACACTCTGAAACTTTACTGATTGTAGCTTACCCTACATAGTAGTCCCACTGTACAGTGAAAAAATTGGAGAGGAACAAAATAAATAGCAAATTTTGCCAAAGTTGTTATGATAGCATATATGAGTTATATTTTATAATAAAGAGCTAGTCTGCATTTAATTTTATTGCATTTACTATGATAGTGTTTTGCACATTATTTAAACAATCTAATCTCATGTGGACAATTAACACATTTGGGGATGGGTTCTAAATATCTATAGATTCTGCATCTGTTTTAGCAAGGGAACAGGCATTTGATCCATAGATTGTCAGGTAATGGCTATTATAAATTAGAGATAAATACATGGATTAAGCAGCTGTATTATTTCGCATACTTTGCACCATAATTTCAAGTTTTGTCAGCAAAGGATTGATAATTAAGAGGAAGATACTCTCAACATGGTAGCCAAAGGGCACCCCTGTTAGAACCTTAGGAAATTATACTTGGGCAATTCTTTTACAATGCTAAAATGACCTGTTTTACATTCTGAGATCCTGTTATTTGCTTAAAACAATATTCTAATCCCTTGGGCAATTTGGTTTTTGAGTAAATCTACACTGTATGTTTAGGATGAATAATGTTTAACATACTTAAAATTTAAACGTAACGTAATATTTTTGGCAAACAATAGGAGAAGGAAGAAAATTGGCATACTTCATTATTCACTACTTTCTTTTCTTTAACCCTCCCTGTCAAGAAAAGGGGAAAAGAGCCTAGAAATATACTCTTTATTTCAACAGTTTTAATTCAGAAGTCGAGGAAGGGTTGGGATGTAGTTCAGTGGTAGAACACATGTCCAGGATGCACTAGACCCTGGGTTCAATTCCTTCCAAGAAAAAAAATAAATTAATTAAAATTTTTGAAATTTGTGAGCTGATGGTCCTACTACTGATAACAGAGGAACAGTTAGGGCTGGGAATCTCGGTGCTGCCTGCCTGGCCAGCTCAAGGTCCTGAGTTTGATCCCTGGTACCAAAACAAAAACAAAAACAAACCAAACCAAAACAAAACAAAAACCCAGTGGAACAGTGGGCTCATTTTTATTCTTGTTTTTATAGATTTTCTAGTATATCATGTTATAAATTTCAGTTAAGTCCTCAATTAGTTGATTCAGTATTTATTGAAACTTATGAA